CTATGGGCTTTTTTATTTCACATCGCGACGATTTTGGCTGCACGGATTATCGTCGCTATGCGGAGCACCACTGTATATGACATGGAAGGAGTGAGAGGAATCTAACAATGCAATTGGTAAACTGCTATTCAGAAATTTCACGGCAAGCTTAATGTTGCTTTTAGCTAACATGCAGTGGCTAAAATTCTGTTGCTTAGCACAGTAAATCTGAGTAGAGTAGTTCCATGGTATCAATGGGGATTTAGTGAGTCAACTGCTCCGAAAGTTTCATGGATTCAAATGGGTTCATTTTAAATGGGTTCAGTTGAATCAATGGAACTTTTGGAGGAGCCAAAATTCAAGGGCCTACTCTAATGAAATTTACTATGTTAAGCAACAGGACTTTGGCCAAGAAGTCGCTAATGGGTTAGTGTGCTTCTATGGATTTACAGAAAAAGAAACACACACACTGCCTTTGAAAGTAAAAATCCATGTTAATAGGCAACTATCAATCCACATCAGTTAACATTTAACTAGTTACTATCTTTAACCCAATTTTGAACTACACAAATAGCAGTTTCCAAAATTTCTAAATTTCCATTCAATTCAAATTAATTTCAGGGCTGTTAATTTTTAATTTTAACCAGTTACACTTTTTCTACTCTTTCCCCATGGCTTTGTCCGACACATGGATTTTGACACAACCTCAGCCATGATAATCTCTTAGGGACAGCACAGCCATGCATTTTTCTGTATGCTAGTACTTTAAATCTGCCAGCGGACTTGAGAGCTCGGGAGCTTAATGACTACGTTCAGAGCTTGATAAAGAGCCTTATGGGGTCAGTAGCATACTGCAAATTTATTTAATTGCATCCCATAATTCAGCATTATGTCCAGTTGTCTCTAAGCACTGAAATGTCTTCAGCTCACCTCAGCAGCACAGCAGAATCTGACAAAAAAGCGCCAACAGCTACATCTGTAGGGAGAAAAAAAAACAGATTGATGATGATCATTAGTCACAACAAATTGTCTCTCAGACACAATCCCCTTATTGCATATTCACCTCTTTGACTGTATTAAATTGCTATTTGCACATTATTAATTAGAGGGGATATGGTGGTACATTAAGGTACATCTATCACAAAAACGTCCTGAACAGAATAATTGAGATATAGCTATTTTGCCTTTATTCCTTCCATTAAATGATTCCTCAGCAACTGGTAAATATCACAGTTAAGCTGCTACTCAAATCTGTGCAACAGTTCTAAAACTGAAGAAGATAATTATATGTACAACTATTCAGCCATAATGTTCTTAACAAGAATATTGACAAGAAATAATAAATCTCCTGTTCAAATTGCAAAAGAAGAGTGTAAAATCTGAAACACAGGGCAAAAAACTAATAATAAATCTTTTGATTAACCTCTTCATAATGGATTTTTTTTTGCACAGAAGAAGAAAAGACACATGATGTAAGAGCCCTACCTCCAAAGTTCTCAAGATTTCCAGCACCAAAATGAACCCCATTGCACAGGAGTTAAACTTCAGTACTGCAGTCAAGCCTCTGCTAATCCTGAGGGGTTAGCTGGATTAAGCTTGACTCAGTCTTCCATCCTTCCAAGGTCGGTAAAATGAGTACTCAGCAAATGGGGAGGGGGCAAAGTGTTCCTTGCATAATTATATTGTAAAGCACCCAGAGTGTGCTTCAAGCACCAAGGGGCGCAATGCACCCTCTAATTTTCAGCCTGCTGGGTCAGGCACTGCCTCTCTCTCATGTGATGTTGCCCCTAGATGCATGTGTGAATCCCACCCCCCAGGGTTCCATCATGACTGGAACCAAAGGGGTTGAAAACGATTGCTGCATGGAGGATGAAGAAAGCTGTGCGGAAGGAGGCGGAGTCTCCTGCGTACATGTGCGTGGCTTAGAGGGAACCTAGATGGCACGATATATATGCTGAAATGGCCACCACCACAGGGTCTACATATTTATGTGCTGAGGCCCGGGAAACAAACAAGGATACTTAGCATCCACCCCACAATTTTGAAACACAATCATTTGGAGAAGTCTATGCGCAGTTGACCCAATGCATGACAAATTCCTCTTTCATGCCTTTGGCATCAATGAGGGAATGCCGGCGACACTGGGAGTGGGACTAACAAACGGGGCCACTTCTTTGGCCCCTCCACATGTCCGAAGAAGACACAGAGGAAAATTTCTGGGGAGGTCCACTGTATTGCTCTTTTGATAACGTGGGGAAGTTTCAGACAGCAACCTTTGGAATAGTCTCAGAAAATACTACTTCCCAAGTTGCAATAGCAAGGGGTACGATCACAATAGAAGTCGGTAAAGTTATCTAATATGCCCGACGTCTTCGATAAATTTTCATTTTTTCTTTTTTAGTTTCTTAATAATGTGAATAGAAGAGGGTATTTATTCATTTGGATTAGCAGATGACTTTTTTGAGCCTAAAAATTGGTGCCTAGGTTGACTGCAGTGCCAGCTGCACCAGAACAACTCCATGAAACAAGAAGATATATATAGCAGGGATTAAGTGTTAGGTCAGTATCATAAACAACTACACTGATGCAAAACAAGTTCCAATTGATACCTGTATGTAATACCTGTATTGATACCTGTCTTCTTGGAGGTAAAATGAAGCAGAAACATGACAAATGTAATCAAAATAAATGTTAATTTTTCTTGCATTTCATTTCATATTTAGAAGATTAGACCCATTGGTCCTTCATGTCTTCTCTATATAATGGTTATCAAGACATCTCAAAAATCCACATGAATCCTTTACTCAGAAGTAAGTTGTCTATTATCTTCCTCCTGAATAGACAGACCCCCAAACATGTTCAATTGCTCATAAAATGCTTTCAGAAGGATAACATAATTCCCCCTTGACACAAATGTCTTGTTTTCAAGCAAGCCAAATGCTGTCAACAGTGGCCACTGAAAGATGAGATCATTCACAGGTACTTCGATGACCTTTTTATCATAGAGGCAATAAGATTCCTTAGTAGGAGCTACATTTTGTTTCTGCTTCTCCATTGTCTTCTTTCCAAATTAATAGATTCCAGTACATCCCAGGGGAAGTGGGAGCACTGAAAAATAAAACTGGCAGACCAGGATTACAAGCCTAGACCCACTAACCTGGGAAAACGCTATATTTAACTGAGCGGCCATATGCTATGGGTTTCATGAGGCATCCGTTGGCAATTGTGCCAGTCAGCTCATCTATACTGCAAGGCAGCCATGCTTCTCTTTAGCTTCCTCTGCTCAGAGAAGCAGGTGCACACCCACTTACATTGTGGGTGGGAAGAGACAAGGGGAAAACAACTGCACAATTGTCTACAAAGACTTTATCTGTACAATTTTAGACATTGAGACTAACATCTATGTCTACTTCTATGGACATGTGACCTGGTTGTTTCAAAACACTAATACTTCTGAAAATTCTAGTGTGCTTTATCATCTTTTCATATTGTTTTCGTTCTACTCATTTGTATTATTTGTATCCCACCTATGTTTTAGAAAAAAAAGTGGACAACAAGCACCACCACCACAGCCTCTCTGCTGCTTTACATAAACGATTCTGAAGCAAAACACTCAACTCACCTGCGTACCCATTGTTGTCTACATCGATTCTCCCCGATATGGACTGACCAAACATCCGTAAAGTGTTGCTGATCTGACGCCCCTGTATTCTCTTTTTAAAAAAGATAGCCATTTAATGATATCTAAAAATTGTGTCACTATGTTTGAGAGTGTATGTCTTTTTTAAATGAAGTAATAGCTAATGCATAAAGAAATAAAGCAAATCAGATTTCCTGATAAATTATTTCCTTTTCTCACCATAGTGTTTTCACATCCAATTTCACATTTAAATAATGTTACATTCAGCTCCATTGGAAACATTCTCTTTATTATCCCCTTAAGAGGCCTTGCCAAGACACTCTGCCACAAACTCATTCTACGGGAACTCTTCCTTACTTTGGAAGGACATGAGTGTTGATGAGACAAGGAAATAGGAATGCTGGGTATCAAGAAAATACAGTGGTGCCTTGCTTAGCAAGCGCTTCATTTAACGAAGAATCCACATAGCGATGAAGATTTTGTGATCGCGAAAGCGATCGCATTGCGATGTTTTAGATGGTAAAATATTGCTTTGCGACGATCGGTAAGCTGTTTCGCTTACCGATTTTCACATAGCAATGATTTTAGAACAGCTGATCGGTGGTTCCAAAATGGCCGCCGGGTAAAAAAAATGGCCGCCTGCTGTGTTTTCGCGCCCTTTCCTCACTTACCGGGCAGCGAAAATGGCGGCCGTATGGAGGATTTTCACATAGCGGTGAGTTTTTTGCCCACAGGAACGCATGAAACGGGTTTTTATGCATTCCTATGGGCTTTTTCTTTTTGCATAATGACGAATCCGCATAGCGACGATTTTTCCGGAATGGATTATCGTCGCTATGCGGGTGCACATTTACACTTGCCCCATTTGGAATGGTGTTCCTCCGTGAACAGAATACATCATCATCATGTGCCATCAAGTCTATTCTGAATATGCTGTGGTTTTCCAGGTGGAGAATACCCAGAATGGTTTCCCATCCCTTTCTTCTGGGACAACCCTGGGACAGTGCAGTTTACCCAAGGCCACACAGGCTGGCTCTACTCACAGGAGGCACAGTGGGGAACTGAAGTCCTCACTCCACAACTAGACAGCCAAACCACCAAGCTATCCAGCCAGCTTCATTGGTGCACGTTAAAAGAGTGCTGACTAAAGAACTGCACTTGGTTGCTTTTGCAGTTGGGACAGACCCTAAAACCTCAATCCTAGTTTCACATTTCTACTCATGCATTTTGACCTAGTTTTCTTACATGAGCTACTCTAATTTTTACTCCCGGAGAAAGACAGAAAGATTAGCAACCTCTTTGCCTAATAAATGAAAGAAGGCGTAAGAGTGGACCATTCCTTCTTTTCTCATCTTTCCCTCCAACTCAACCAGTAGTTACTCTGACGGATTATCTTGCTGTTTGGAAATGTGTTGTCCTTAAACTAGGCAAGTCTACTAGGCAGGGACCTTGTCAATTTATGTTCAGTTTTGTCCTTTATTTAGGGTTAACAGCTGGATACTTTTAAATCTATAGTCCCAGGGACCGCTTAAAGAGACTCACCTGTGAGAAAGCAGGTGATATGCCGTCCTTCCTGCCATTATATATGTAAATTGCCCCTTCTAAATCATTTTCCTGTGGTGCTCCAATGGCTACATCTATAAAGGAACAGAGAGGAAAGAAATGTTTGCGTTAAAGACATTGAAGATGCCAGTGTTTTAACTTACGTGCATAGCAGTTTGTCCCAGTTTTGTATGTGGATGTGTTTATTTTAACGTAGGACATAAAGATTATTTCACACCATCTGGAAAGGTGGAAATATAGTTTCTCCATCACCACTAATTGTTTAATTAGCAGTTAAAGGTTTCTGGAAGACTGGGAGGGGAACAAAGCAAAACATTATTGGCTAAAGGGACAGAAACTTCAAGGTTACCGGTTGAGAGCCACTTTGAATCCCCTACGGGATGAAAGGCAGCATATAAACAAACAAACAAGTAAACAAATAAGGTGAATAAAGTGGCATAAAGAGCAATGATGTATAACAATCCATCTAAAAGTCATACTCACGTAGCCAGACGCTGGGGGAAAGCTAGGCTGAAGAGAAAGTTCTTTTTGTCTGCTTGCCAAATGGATGGGAGAAGTCAGAGGAAGACTGCTTGGAATGGAAAGTACCACCAGTTTTGGGAAAAGAAGTTATTGCTAATTTCTAATACAGTAGGTTGATCATAACCATATTTCCATTTCTCCCAAAACTCCTTTTCCCCTTCTTCACTCGTGTCATCAAACATCAGGATTTTTTTGCTCGTCAACAAAGATCAGGCCTTTCTCTTGGTCCTATCACCCTCACAAGCGTGCTTGGTCAGGACAGGGGAGAGGGCCTTCCCTGTTGCTGCTTCCAGACTCTGGAACTCCCTCCCACTGGAGGAAGCCAGGCTGGTGCCATCTTTCCTATCCTTTCGCAAGCAGGTGAAGACCTTTCTTTTCAGGCAGGCTTTCCCTTACTGACTGGCTGCCTGAGTGGGATTTTTTTAAAGGATGATTGTACCTTACTGCATTGAATGCATTTTGGTGTATTTCAGCCATCTGACTGCTGCGGTTTGGACCAGCTGAAGTTTTCTGACATTTTCCCGTAGGCACCCCACATAGAGTGCATTGCAGTAATCCAGCCAGGATGTAACTAAGGCACGTGCCCCGTGGCCAAATCAGACCTCTCCAGGAACCTCTCCAGTATGAGCACAGTAATGACAGAAATACTATTTGTTTAAGCCAAGGCACTTATTTTCCTCCTTTAAAAAAACTCTTAACAACCGATTAGTGCTTTGTGATGGGCAATGCAGTTAAAAGGCAAACGAAGGCAACTGGTTATAAACAAATGAGTGTTTTCTATGCCCGGGTAGTTTTATTCCTGCAAAAGAATTGAGGAAAAAGAAGGGTAATCCTTTCAATTACCTAAAGCAATAGACAGAGTAAGTGATCCGTGGAGAAAAGAGTTCTATTGCTTCAAAATACATCTAGCTTTGAAGAAAATTGCTTGAAAATCAAGGTGTTTTTTTTCCAAATAGAAGTTTCGTGTATCCAAATAAATAATACTCCCCAACAGAAAGAGAGAGAAACTAGACAGACAGATAGGATATTATCACAAACTACTGCCATGAGGCAGCTGCCTCGCTCTGCCTAATGGTAGGGCCAGCCTTCCTGAGAATCAGTCTCTCATCAGCAGTGAGCTGTAAATTTGTTGTCTGTTGTTTAGTCATCTAGTCGTGTCCGACTCTTCATGACCCCATGGACCAGAGCACACCAGGCCCTCCTGTCTTCCACTGCCTCTCGGAGTTGGGTCAAATTCATGTTGGTAGCTTCGATGATACTGTAAATAACAGAGGCTATATGCAAAACAGAGGACCAACATGCTAATATTTTAGCTGACCAAAATACTATATGTTATTCCACTCACTGGCTGTTTCGAGAAAGTCTATCATGACTTCTGAACACAGTTCTCTACTAGAGATGGGGGGGCATTCGTATATGAATACTAACATCCCCATGTAGCTGGACTTAACAAGGATTCCCCCCTCTGATTTGGATTGTCCACGTATGTGTCAGGTGGTGGCGGCCCCGCTCGTCCATCCAGTCGCGCCCAAAGCGTTGCTCTCTTCCCGCTCGGCTGGCAACTCAGCAGCCTTCCAGGGAGACTCGTCTTCCCTCCCACTGCCTGGAGCGGCCAGCTGAGCAGAAAGAGAGCAATGCTCCGGGAGTGATTGGAAGGATAAGCAGGGCTGCTGCCGCCGGCAGACACATAAGCAGATGGGCCGGCCACAGGGGCCAGCCCCTTGTTAAGTCCATCTGCACAGAGATATTTGTATTTGTATTTGTATTTGAATATGAATACCTCTATCTCTACTCTCTACTCTTCTATTTTATTACTATAGATTTCAAATAGACTTGTCAGTACCTTCAAAGCCATCATTATCGATGTCTCCTAAGTTGGCAATGGAGTCTCCAAACCTCGCTGCATACAGATCACTCCCCATCAGTGCTGTTTCCATCTGCGTCATCTCTGCTCCCTAGAAAAAAGGAATACTTCTGCATCACAACAGAAATGGCAGGTGCATCAATATAGTGCTTTAGTGACCCCACAGGTGACTAGAAGGCAGAATATGTGCAAACTCTGCAGGAGGAAAGTAAGAATTCTTCTGTTTGGGCAAAGACAAAGACTTTGAAATCAATGAGATTTCAACATGAGAGAATTAAGCATATCCTTAAGCTTTTCTATTGATGATAACAAGGACAATGTTAATTTTTATTTTGCCATCAGTGTAAAATCTTTATGCCTACCAATTCATCATTTAGTTTTCTTGGCCTTTCCCAAATGGAGAGCCCTGTCATACATCAGTCACGTGACTTGGCACATGACAGGAAATACAAATACCAATGTCTCAACTAGTAGCACTTTACACTTGAAATTAATGCCATTGGACTTAATCGGCAAAAACATTCAATTGGATGTTGCTCCTTGGTCTACAAACACAGGCTTGGGCAATTTTTGCACCATGTGAAATTTTATTTTAATTTATTCACCATGTGAAATTCAGATCCAGTGTAATATGTTTATCGGCTCGTAGTAGCTTTTTTCTATTGTACTTAGTCAAAACCCTGTTTTTCTCAGAATAAATCTAGGATACAAATCCCATTAGATTACACTGTTTGATTAATAAATTTCTGCCTTTATTTAATTGGCAATTGTGTTATTTAACTTTCCTCTCAAAGTATGGAGTGGCAAGGTCATGTCTTCTAGATAGTAATTAGTAGGGCTGTCAACTCATAATGAAAGTCATGATTGACAGAGTAAATCTGCTTTCCTTTACCTATGAATAAAATATAATTGTAAAAATTAAAAACAACAACACTTCAAGAGGGTCCTTCTCGGGGCTACTGGCAAGTCATCAGACCCAAGTCTCAAGTCCCAGTTCTAGCCTTTGGGCCTCAGTCTTGTGTCCCAAACCTTGAGTATGATTTTCAAGACATTTGCTCCACCCCACCCCCAAGGCTTGGGACCCGGGATTAAGGTCCAGAGACTCGGACTGCACATGGACCACCCATCCGATAGGCTGGCACATGCACAGAGAGAGTGGGCCGCCCTACCTGCCATCCATCCATCTACGTACCTCCATCCATGCACCTGCTGCCCAGCTGATAGGCCAGTGCATGAGCCAAAGAAGGGGCCGACTTCCCTCCCCAGAGCCAGCTGCTGCCTCTGCGTAGGCGCCAACCTATCAGAGAGAAGGTAGGTACAGGGGCAGAGGCAGCAGTCGGATCCTTGAAAGGAAGCTGGGCCTGCTGCCTCTGAGGATGGCAGCAGTGGGTGGCAGGTAGGGAAGCTCACAGGGACTCAACAACACAATTCAAACAAATGGGTCCAGGTAATAAGTTGAGCCTTGAGCACCCACTCCCCGAAACCACCAAGTCAAGTCCGAGTTAAGTCAGACTTGACAGCAAGTTCCAACTCGTGTGTCCCCCATCCCTGGTCCTTCTCAAATTGTTTGTTTACAGATATAATAATAATTGTGTGTCATCAAGTCCGTTCTGACTGGTGACCCTTTTCAAACTTTTCCAGGCAGAGAGCACTCAGAAGTGGTTTATTATAGCCTCCTTCTGGGGACACCCTGGAACATGTGCAGGTTGCCCAAGGTCACACAGGCTGACTCTTCCCTTCAGATGCTCAGCAGCTTGGAACGGAACTTCCACCTTCTGGCTTGGCAGCCATTGATAACGGTTCCTAAAAAATGAGCCCCAGAGCTCAAGCTGATGGTTGCCTAAGACAGGAGAAGACTGTGCCATTTTCATTTAAGTAGCAAGTGGTGATGGGGGGGATGAGAAGGAGGAGGAGAAAAAGAAGAAGAGAAAGGAGGAGGAGGAGGAGATGAGGAGGAGGAGGAAGAAGTGGCACAGCAAAAGCAACAACCAAGAGGATATGGCACATGGCTGGAGGCAAGAATAGGAATACTGCTGTGAAATTCGTGGGTATTGTAAGGAGACAGATTGTAATACAAAAGCACAGGTTAAAGTGCCTTGCACCACTTCACATGGCAGGTAGGAAATTTTACACTGAACCCCTCTCCTTAAGGCAAAGAAATTTCCTATACATATTTTTAAAAGATGTAAGGGAGAGTGATTCGTATAGCCTGCTCTTCTCCTTGTGTGGCACAATATCAATATTACTATTAATCCGTTTCAAACATAGGGGTATTCTCTGACATGGTTCAGTCCAGAAACAGTTCAACATTTACCATACTATCTCTTCCTGCATAACTCCAGTGGGCGCTCTCTGTCCTTGTTCAAACTGCTCTCTTTGATTTCAATACATGCAGATGTACACACAGTATTTTTTTAATATAGGGCTTTAGGCCCTATATTATTGTTGTTGTTGTTGTTGCTGTTGTTAATATGCCACATTTCTCCTAACAAGGGACCCAAAGCGGCTCATAACATTAAAAGTCACACAATTAACAAGTCATCAGACCCAAGTCTCAAGTCCCACTTCTAGTCTTTGGGCCTCAGTCTTGTGTCCCAAGCCTGTCTGAAGAGATGGGTCTTTAGCTTTTTTCAGAAGGAAAACAAGGAAGGGGCCATCCTGATCTCCCGAGGGAGAGCGGTCCATCGCCTGGGAACTGCCACCGAGAAGGCCTTCTTCCCGTGTCCCCATCAGCTGTGCTTGTGCTGGCAATGGGACCGAGAGAATGGTCTCCTCTGCTGATCTGAATCGCTGAGAAGGCGCATATAGGAAGATACGGTCTTTCAGGTAGCCTGGACCCAAGCTGTATAGGTAATAACCAGCACTCTGAATCCGGCCCAAAAAGGGACTGGTAGCCAGTGCAGTTCTTGTAACAGGTGCATTATATGCTCCCTGCAGCTGGCCCCAGTCAGTAGTCTAGCTGCAGAATTTTGCACCAGTTTCCGAACCGTCTTCGAAGGGGTTACAGTAATCCAAACGGGATGTAACTAAGGCATGTGTCGCTATAGCTAAATCCGACATCTCAAGGAACGGGCGCAGCTGGTGCACCAGCTTTAGCTGTGCAAATGCACTCCCAGCCACCACTGAGACCTGGGCATCCAAGCTTAGGGATGAATCCAGGAGGACACCCAAGCTGTAGACCTGAATATTCAGGGAGAGTGTAACCCCCATCCAGCACAGGTAGTACCCCTATTCCCTCATCTGTCTTCTGAGTAAGACCTGAATATTCAGGGAGAGTGTAACCCCCACCCAGCACAGGTAGTACCCCTATTCCCTCATCGGTCTTCTGAGTAACAAGGAGCCCCTCTGTCTTGTCTGGATTAAGTTTCAGTTTGTTTGCCCTCATCCCGCCCATTACTGATGCCAAGCACAAGACAGCTTCCCTGGAATTAGATGGAAAGGACAGAGTTGGGTCTCATCTGCATACTGGTGACACTGAACCCAATCCTCCGGACAAGTAGATGGAAAGGATAGATAGAGTTGGGTGTTATCCGCATACTGGTGACACAGAACCCAGTCCTCTGGACAAGCTCTCCCAGCGATGTTAGATGTTAAACATCATGTAGATGTTAAAAAGCATAGGTGACAAAGCAGAATCCTTAGGAACCGCCACAGGCCAATGTCCAGGGCATTGAGCAGGGGTCACCCAGCACCACCTTTTGAGTTCTCCCCTCTAGGAAGGACTGGAGCCACTGTAAAACAGTGCTTCCAAGTCCCATCCCAGAGAGATGGCCCAGAAGGATACCATGGTTGATGATATTGAAAGCTGCTGAGAGGTCCAGCAGAACCAAAAGGGACACATTCCCCCTGCCCAGATCCCGGTACAGTGGGGTCTTGACTTGAGAACTTAATCTGTATTGGAAGGCGGTTCTCAAGTCAAAAAGTCTGTAAGTCAAGTCTCCATTGACCTACAGTGCATTGAAAACCGATTAATCCTGTAACAGGCCGTTTTTGTTCCATTTTGGTTTTTTTCTGGTCTGTAAGTCAAATCACAGTCTGCAAGTCAAACCTAAATTTTGCGGCCAGAGAAGTCTGTAATTCAAAAAGTCTGTAAGTCAAGCCGTCTGTAAGTCAAGGGTCCACTGTATAGGTCATCCACCAAGGTGACCAAAGCTGTCTCTACCCATAGCCAGGCCTGATACCAGTTCGAAATGGATCTAGATAATCTGCCTTATCCAGGAATCCCTGGAGCTGAGAAATTACCACACGCTCCAGTACCTTGCCCAGGAATGTGATATTTGAGACTGGCCAGTAGTTACCCAGTAGACTGGGATCCATACATTAGCCAAAAAAAAAAAGCTATACATAAAATAAAACACTGATGTCAGAGATGCAGGTTTGCACATAATAGATAACAGGTCGATAAATGTATAGGACTAACAATTCTGTTTATGGCAAGGCTGTTGTGCTTTCAACAGCTTATGAAAGGATATAAATTTGCCAGGCACATTTTTTCAGCACCACCGCAATGCCATGGCAGAAAGACTTTTGCCTGTTCTAGGATGGTGCTACTTGTGAAAAACTGATTCTTTGCATCAGCCCTTGTTTGGAATCAACCCGCATCACCCTTGTCATAAAATAAATACTCACCGATCCCGAGTTAATGTAAACATAAACTCTTCCTTCTTCTCTGACTTTACTATGCATTGGTGCTCCGACAAGTAAGTCTGAGAGGCCATCTCCATTCAGATCCACTGCGCAAACAGTAGCTCCAAAATAAGAACCAAGCTGACCACAAAGGAGAGAGATTTAGCTACTGATTCATCATGGCATAATATTGGATATATCAAGTTCAGCCTACATCAGCATAAAAGCATTACCTTTTTACCCTTTAGTTCAGTCAGAATTGAGAGATGCTTTGGCTCTATTTTGAAAATGTATGCCTAAAATAGAGAAATAACAGGTGTTAAGTGCATCATGGGTCTCTCAAAAGCAGAAACATTTAGCAAGAGGTATAATAAAGCGAAGCCAAGCCAAAAGGTCTAGAACCTCTTCACTCTGTTTTCAACCTCATGTATCCATCCACTCCAGATCCCATCTTTGGGCAATGCTTGCATATGGATGCTTAAAAGTAACAAATGCTTATGTCTTTATATTTTTTAATATAATGTCGTTTATATTTCTTAAGTGTTTTTAATTTTTTTAAAAAAATGTTTTTATCTACTTGTTTTAAACTGATTTAATCAGTTTTTAAAATATTGTGATCGATCTTAGTGTCATTTTAAGCTTTTAAGTATAGTCTATTCTAATATTGTAAGCTGCTTTAAGTCCATTTGGGTAAAAAAAAAAGAGGGGGGGCTATAAATAAAACACTCCCTCCTGTCTCATCAGAGACACCTGGCACATTATATGAAACTATCCTTCCCATCATGTTTCAGCCTCTGGTTAATTACTGCACTGAGAGAAAACAGACAACGGGCCTGTTGTGACGGGCTCTATTCCCTTCCCTAGGGCTTAACACGAGTGCCTAGGCTCTCCCCTTCCTGCCTGTCGCTTTCCCTGCACGGAGAGGGACATGCCTGCAGAGGAGGTTCCTCCTCACATGATCTTTCCAGGGTTCTTCCTCATATGCAAAGTCTGCACACTGCTTTCCACGTGGAAGAAGCAAGACAGAGATGGAAGGGCTGGGCAGTCTCCTCTCACTGTCCTGGAGAGAACTAGGTGAGTAACAACTTTAAAGGGCTTAAGGGAACGCTTCAGTGGCAAGGGTAACAATGCCAGCTCCTGCATCTCTTTTGATCAAAGGCGTGCAGTTTGAAAGATGTCACTATTCACCTCTCAGATCCAATGTACACAGAGAACTACGCCTATCAGATTAAGCAGCACTCACAACATGAAAAATCCTTACTCCATCATTGTCCATGCAGAGAAAGCAACCATGTGGTGGGGAGAGCCTAGGCACCCTTGTTCAGCCTATTCCAAAAGAATAAGGTATGTCATGACTTAAGAGGCCTTTGGAAAACCATATCTTGCAGCCTCTGACAAACAAGCTCTTCTGCACCACTTCGTACAGCAACCTGATTCTTGCACGGATGACTTCTGATGCCATACCACCACCACCACTGCCACCATAACCACAGTGAAAACAACAACACGAATTCTTACTTTGCCAGTCTGCTCCTGCTGGGGAGCACCTCCAATTACTTCGGTACTCTTTGGTGAGAGGAAGTGACCAGCTCCGACAGCATAACCTGTCAATAAAAGAGAAATCCAGGACTTTGCCTTCCAAGGAATCCGTGAACAGTTAGGAAGGGTTCTTAAGGATCTCTGGGCTTCAACAAGCTAACGGGAAATACACAGCGGCCTCTGGAGCAAATGGCGGTGAGACACACATTGTTCAGTGTTACCATGGTATTCGTATTCATGTCAGAGCAGGGCCCCTAATTCCACCTGCTGAAACAGAAAAGGTGGATGGCTTTTTCTATTATCACCAGGAACAACTCAGTCACTCTTAAGTGAGAATTTTCTATCCTAGACATGCAACTAAATTCCGTTTAGTTTTGCTTTCCTTTCCCGGAGAGGAAGACCAGCTACGGCAACCAAGAGAAGCATAGCTCCAGCAACTGTATTCAATTTAGGGATTCATATAAAAACATACTGATAAAATATTTCAATCACCTAAATAACTCCCAGACTTTACTTGATTTTCATCCACGTATGACAGGAAGATATTTGCTGTTTTATTGTATACAAAGATGGATCCAGTCCAATAATCTGATCCTGGAGCTCCCATAATAATTAAATCCTGGAAGAAAACAAAAGGCTTAAGTCTTAAGTTCTTAAAGATAATCAGAGTGAGTCATATTTATTCCTGCTCTGTCTGCTTTAAAGTCTGTGGTGCTACCTAGCAATAGCTAAGTTTGTTCAACTGGTCACATTATTCAGTACATAGAACAAGGCTAAAATGTATGGCAAATGTTTCATGTGCTTAGCTCTTCCATTGCTGAAGATTACATCTGCAATGAATCTCAAGCAATCAGTAAGCAAAGAAAATAAAGGGGGGGGAGCCCTGCCCTTCTCAGCAGAACATTTTAGAACAATTTTTATTCTGAACATAAAGTGATGGTATTTAGTGCAGTATAATGATCCTTTCAATCCCATATGGATTCCTGTTAGTTTTATTACTGCTCTGAATACGTTACTCTGAAGCAGGTTAAAAAAAATCTTACATTTTATTATTTATATATTTCCAAATTAGAGAAGATGATTTCATATTTTAAAAAATATGGCCCATGTTGTGTGTTATAAAGTCTTGCTTCAGTGGATTTACCCTTTCTAAAATACATTGTGTGCAGTACACCCGCCAGAGAATATAGATTGGCTTAAGCAGGTAGTAGCGCCAGCAGCCACTTCCACGGCTACACCTGGAGCACGAACAGGGCTTCCTCTCAGGGTGGTCGTTTCCTCTGCAATTTTCAAGGTGCAGCCAGGGGACCAAAAATTGCACGGGACACAATGCAATGTTTATCTGTGTGTGTGTGTTTAGTCGTTTAGTCGTGTCCGACTCTTCGTGACCCCATGGACCAGAGCACGCCAGGCCCTCCTGTCTTCTACTGAAGAATGTTTATCTACTTGTTTGTTTATTGGAAGTATTGATTGGTTGCTTATCTGCCCACCATACTTCATGAAATAAAATGCAATGAGGCCACAAAATGAAACAAAATATTCTTTTGAAAATAAAAATAAAAATAAATTCAGCCCCTAAAGGCGTGGCAAAATGAAACAGCTTGGACTACCCATCAAAAACTCAACAGAGATGGGAGTGTTATGTGCCATCAACTCAATCCCAACTATGGTGACCTTCATAGGATTTCTGAAGTGCATGAGATATCTAAGGAGTTGTTTTACTTCTGCCACACACATTCCTCCAGGAGTTCTCATGGTTGTGGAAGGGATTTGAATCCAGGTATCCAGGGTCCCAATCCAGCCCTCTACCCACTACATCAGTGGTTCCCAATCTTGGATTGCCAAATATTTTTGGACTAAAACTCCCAGAAGCCTTCACCACTAGCTGTGTTGGCTAAGATGTCTAGAAGTTGCAGTCCAAGAACATCTGGGACCCAAGGTTGCAAACCACTGCACTACACCATGCCAGTTCTCGCTTGTTATGAGTTAGAAGCCCTATCATGAAGGTGTGGCCACAGAAAAAGCTCTGTCTCGTGTATTCACCAAACCAATTAAAACGAAACAGCCATGATGCCAAATAATGCCTCCAAAACCATCTCCAAAAAAATGTTCAGTTCAAATTTGACAGGAGTCACTCCAAAATGGCGCCCAACCAAGTCTTACCAGCAGGACCATCAGAAGGATACAAGGAGTGGTGGCAGCAAATGCCACTAAGGGTGCAACCAGAGGGTTGCAAAGGCTCACCCCTGATCACATCAGAAGGGGACACCTGAATGGGAGCAATTTCCCTTAAAGCTATCCTTCTGTTTGCCGGGGAATTACTCCAACCTGCCCCCCCCAAAGTAAAAGCCCTACACATGGACCAGACAGGTCCTGCTTGGGGAGGGACTGGGGTCGGGTTGGAGTACATTTCCCCATCTTTCCTGCAATCACCGGGGGAAAGATCCGCCTGGCCTGCTCCACAAGAAGTTCAGATTGCAATCTATTTCTCTGTGTGGTCACACCCTCAGTCCAGCAAAACAAAAAGGGCACCCTTTTCCTCTTCAGCTCCTGGCACAGGTTATTCACCATGGCAATCAAAATGATTTCTGCCCCAAATTCAAATGATTGGCTGTTGATGTGTCAAAAGCACTGACCACTAGAATTATGCAGGGACTGGAATGCTGGACAGGGGATTTGAAGATGCATCTCTATGTAATGAAACCCACCAGCCACTTTGAGCCACCTGCTTTCTTTCAGCCTCTCATGTCAGGGCTGCTGTGAAGAAAAAGTGGCTGACAGTCATACACGCCAACTTGTGTTCACCAGAGGAAATCGATGTATCAATGTAACTAACAAATAATATATTTTTAAATTTTCTGTTATATGATGATGACGATGTGTCATCAAGTCAATTCTGACTTAATGCAACCCTTTTCAGAGCTTCTTTAGGCAGAGAGTCCTCCGTGCTTAGTAGTGGCTGACCAGACCCTTCCCCTGGGGAAACACTGGGATTGTCCAGTTTGCTCAAGGCTTACACAGGCTGGCTCTTCTCCCTGGAGGCCCAAGTGAACTCCCAATTGTTGGCTCCACAGCCAGATGCTTAAACCACTCAGCTACCCAACAGCTATTGTCCTATAGATTAGGTAAATGTGGAAGTACTGTAAAAAGGAAGCACATTTTCATTCTTAGAATAAATGAATAGCTTTAAGAGAGAAATGACATCCTTTGAACACATACCTCCATGTAAAATGTTGATATTCCAGCCTGGCAGGATCCATATTTTTCTCCATATCTTCTCCAGAAATCTGAATATTTTTAGAAAAATATAGAAAATGAATATTTTTTAAAAAAATACAACACAAAAACACTAATCCTCCATGAATAATATCACAAATTCTTTACAGCTGTTTTGACAAAACGGTTGGGATTAAGCAGCACTACAGGCATTGACTGAAAGATAATATCCTGCTTAGTAATAACAGAAGACTAAACGGTTTAAAAAGTGCCCTGTTCAGAACGTTATCATCACTGCTCATCCTTCCCTTGAAAACTGTAAATTATTGCAGGGCAACCAACAAACGAACTTTAACAGACAACATTCCTATCAATATGTCACATTGAAGCCCTTCTTTTTTATTATTATTATTGTAACAAAAAGCTAAGCTGATGGCCTTGCTGTTTTTCTTCCCATCCCATCTGCAACACTGGACAACATCTGGGAGAGCCACCATTCTTTCTAGAGGATCTCTGGCATGGGAAGGACAGGCACTATCTGGAGCACTGTATCTACCACCCGGCTTCTCTACTCAGTGTGGCAGGAAAGAAAACAAGCCTACAAGGCACTTCTCCAGTCTCCCCACCTCACCAGAGTAGAAGTGGCTGCATCATCCATTTTCCTCTGCTGAAGCCAAGGGCAGAGAGAGGTGGGGGAACTGAATTATCTGAAGGGCAATTATAAACATATGTTCTATTCTCACCCCATTTCATATCTTACCCTCCAACTCTTTAACAGAGGAGCTGTGGCAGCAACAGCACTGGCCTCAGGATCAGACAAAAATCAGGGGAATGTGTGCTTCCCGTGACAAATGCATTTTTCCTCCCACAATTTAAATGTCTTTAGGATATATGGGTGGGCAATCAGACATGCAGATAAAGCCCCCCCCCCATTTTTTAAAATCACAAAACGAAGCACATGAAATAGATGTTTTGAACATGAGACAAAATGCTTGCATCCTTCAATAGGCATCTTTGAACACTGAAGGGAACACAGCTTCTAAATAGGAGTCTTGTTTGACCTTCTGACCATAGGCGACAGAAGACACAGGAAATGTGCCGGCCAGCTATAGCACCCATCAGAGGAACACAGCGTGTTCGTCCCTGATCACACTAGGAAAACTGTTCTGAGCCAAGCATGGGATGATGAAATGGAGGGAGACTCAGTTCTTCCAGGCTACCTGGTAATCCAAAGGAAACAGGGCTGCTTCTTCCTCCATGAGCTTTACCTGTTATCATCACTGCCAGTGCACCTCCACTCTACACTACACTAAACAGAAAGGGAGGTAAAGGACGAGGGAGAAAAGGGTGAGGGTGGAAGGACATGGGGACAGGTGCCTGACGGGTGGGCAGGTGGGTAAGAGAGGGGATGGGCAGGTAAGTGAGTGAGTCAGCGAGCAAGCGAGCGAGGGGGGCAACCAAGCAGGTGCTGGCTTTTTTGGCAAGTCTGGTACTTTATTGTTGTTGTTGTTGTTGTTGTTGTTGTTGTTGTTGTTGTTGTTGTTGTTGTTGTTGTTGTTGTTGTTGTTGTTGTTGTTGGTAGTAGCAGCAGCAGCAGTAGCAGTAGTATTCCTGTCTATATGGCAGCAGGAATTGAAACAAAGGGGGGATGGGGCATTCACGTATGCAGAATATGCCATATCTGCCCCAAAATAAATAGACCTCTGACAGGGGAGCAAAAAACCCCACTACCCTGGCACTGCACTCTGTGTGTGCGCATACCTCGTTTGTATGCTAAAATGTATATCCTTTTTTTAAAAAGGAGAACCTGGTTATAACAGAAGGTTCTTTTGTCATTGGGATACAAGCCCCAATTTCTTAGGTGGACAATATCTGAATGACTGTAGAAAAACACAGTCATTGTGTTTGGTTGTATAATCCAACTTTCATTCTGGTATTTCGTTCACCTTCAAGACTCCTTGCACTTCCTTTTTATTAAAAAATATATCTGCTTATGTTAATCGCTGCTCCCAAGAAAACCACTGACAAAGGCTATGTTTTGCCTCTTCTTGCTACGGAATGCTGAGCATTTGCCTGATCCTCATTTTAAAAGATGGAGTCTTTTTTAAAAAATATTTTACCAGGTTGTAACAAAAAATACATACCCTTATAGCAAGGACATAATCTCCGACTCAGCAGTGTCCGAAAATCGGAAGGAATGTCATAACAAACGCCACTAGGAAGTTTATTCTCTGTGATATAGTATACATTTTTCCATCGATGCCCACAGGCCTGTGTTAAAAAAAGTAGTAGTAGTAGCAGCAGCAATGATGGTGAAAATCAATGCAATTATGGTATTTGAAGGAGAGCTTAGAAGAAAAGAAGAGACACAGCAGATTGCTTTTCAGTGAGCCAGACCATTAGCCCAACCATTAGCCCAGACCATTATCATCCACCCCAAGCTCCATGCTGATTTCAGAGGAGATGTTCCCATCCTGACCTGGTCATGTCAGGAATGGAACCTGGGACCTTCTGCATGAACAAGTAGGAGCCTGACACCAGAGAAAGACAAACCCTGCTCCACCAACAGACAAATACCTACGTTTCAGGATTGCGTAAGATAATACTCCGGACCTTCTGCATGAACAAGTAGGAGCCTGACGCCAGAGAAAGACAAACCCTGCTCCGCCAACAGACAAATACCTATGTTTCAGGATTGCGTAAGATAATACTTACAACAATTGATCCGTTTTCTCCTGGCTGCCTTGACAAGCTTACTCCCAGCCACTGGTTGTCTCTTTCTTCTAAACAGGTTTTTCCACATTTCCCCCCTTGTGGGGAACCTTTAACAAGAAACAAGCAAACAAATAAAAAAAATTCCATAGATACCTAGAACACAATCTGAGAACCACACTAATACTGTATCCCTTTACTTCTCTGAACAGACTCCGACAAAATTTTGGCCTTCTAGATAATCATTATCCGTTTTCTCCTGGCTGCCTTGACAAGCTTACTCCCAGCCACTGGTTGTCTCTTTCTTCTAAACAGGTTTTTCCACATTTCCCCCCTTGTGGGGAACCTTTAACAAGAAAAAAGCAAACAAATAAAAAAATTCCATAGATACATAGAACACAGTCTGAGAACCACACTAATACTGCATCCCTTTACTTCTCTGAACAGACTCTGACAAAATTTTGGCCTTCTAGATAATCATGAACAGACATGGGGTGGAAAAAAACATACACATACCTCAACCCTTGAGAACCACACTGTATCCTTTCTAAAATTCTGATCAGAATTTTTCAAAGTTTTTCCTTTTAGGTTAATCATTAGCCAGGAAAAAAAATAGTTTGTTTATTTGTTTGTTTGTTTGTTCGTTCATTCGTTCATTCATTCATTCGTTCGTTCGTTCGTTCGTTCACCAAAAGCATACTAGCAACAACAATATACTAGGGGGAATTTAAGCTAATGGTAAATGCTTCAACACCATTATGATGTGTAGGGGGGGCCAAACCAGGCCAGGGACAGAGAAGGAACAGTGGCATAGCCAGCTTACTTAGAGAACAAGTCACATTTCCTCTTCTGGCATACAGTTCCATCTGTACAACATATCAGTAAAGAGACATATCATATCAGTAAAGAGACTCCAGTCTCAATCAATAGGGCTATTGGAAGGCAGATCCATTCACGGAACAAAAAGAACAAGAAGAATTATAGAATACTGAAGCTGGAAGGGCCTCTAAGGCCACTGAATCCAAAACCTTGGTCAAGGCAGGAACCCAAATCAAAGCAGATCTGACAAACGGCTGTCTAAATTTCTCTTGACTGCCTCCAGTGTTGCAGCACTCACTACCTCTTGAGGCAATTAGTTCCATTGTCATACTGCTCTCCCGATTAAAATGTTTTTCTTGATATTCAACCAAAATCTGGTTCCCTGTCATTTGAGCCCATTGTTGTGTGTCCTGCACTCTGGGATGATTGAGAACGGGTCCTGCCCCTCCTCTGTTTGACAGCCTTTCAAGTATTTGAAGAGTGACATCCTATCTCCCCCCCCCAGTCTCTTTTTCTCAAGGCTAAACAGTTCCAGTTCTTTCAGTTTTTCCTCACAGCGCTTGGTTTCTAGTCCCCTGATCCTCCTTATTTGCCCCCTTCTGAACTTGTCCCACTGCGTCTACATCCTTCTTAGAGCTCGGTGCCAAGAACTGGACAGAGTACTCAAGATGAGGCTTGACCAGAGCTGAATAGAAAGGAGCAATAAACTCTTCAGAAAAATAATGCATCCTTCTCTTTAAAAACAGCAAATAAGGACCGAGACTGCTCAGAGCCAGGGAATGCTAAAAGACTGTTACACCTTATGCAGACGTTACCCCTGAAAGCAGGCAAAGGCTATGTTCATGATGGGGACCAGAGCACCCCCGTTAGCCCCAGCCCCAACACCTCTCCACTCTGCAAGTCATTCCGATCTTTGTGAGAAGAGTACAAAGTTCTTGAAGAAGGTGCCTGTAAGTGCATTTGGTCTCCCAAGCTTCCATGACCCTGCATTATCATTGGGGAGCTGTGCCGGTCAAGTGAGTGTTGTAAGCACTTCCAGTGAAATGCATGAACAAGCTCTTCTTTAGACCTCTTTGCTGGGGGTGCAAATGTCTAAATGACATCCAGGAGAGAAGCGGCAATTCCTTTTTCATGAGAAGAGAGGATTCTTTGGAGAAGACCATAATGCTGGGAAAACTGGAAGGCCACATTCCTCATCCAGATCTTCCTCATTCAGGCCTCCTTCATGTAAACAAAGAAGTTACAACAAAAACCGGGAGGGTGTCATATACAGGGCTATATTACTTTGCTATGGCGTCTTTAGTCCGTAAGAAGGAACTTTGGCCAAGTGACCTTTTCTGCTCAGAGAAAAAGAGGAAGAGGGGCGACCCTTGTTTTCTCTTCTCAGCATCCTTGATTTCTCAGAAAAGGCATTGCAACATATAGCTTGTCCAATCCAGAAATGGTTTGCTGAAGGCAAGAAACACACAGCTAAGTTTACAATCCACTTGATAAAACCATTTTCTTCTTTTTTAAATTATTTTTTAAATAATTTCATTAAACAAACATCCGTCCTAAACAACATAAACCTAACACCATAATAAAACACGATTACATAATACACCAGTGCTACCATCACCCTCAGGGCTAGCATTAATAATATTTTAAAATTTCATTCAGTCCATTTTCTTTCCAAAATGTCACTGTTTCTTCCCTCAGTGCATACCCCTTCCCTCTCCGAAATACATATTCCAAGAATACACTCCATATTTCCTTAAAATTGTTATTTTTTGATAGGTCTCTTCTTATTTTCATTTCGCATGTCAGTCTATCATTAATTGCCATATCCCATAGTTCGCTAATACCATTCCTCTAAATTGAGCTGGCTATCATTTTTCCAGTTTCTTGCAAAAATTAACCTTGCTGCCGTAATCATTATTACTATTAAGTCCTTATTTTCTTTCAACAATTGATCATTTTTGATGAGTTTCTTGCAATAATACAATATCCATATTATTTTTATTCAATACATTTTGTCTCCTAGCCCTCTTTGTGTTAGAACCCAGGCCTTTCACATTCCATGTTGAAAACCTTCAATGTTTAACCATTCTCTAATTTTTTTTAAAAAAATTAATATTAGTCCTGATTTGTGATTGTCAACTATAGTGCTCCCCAAATAAAAAAATTAAAAACCCTTGAATTCCTATTGAATTCTTCTACCCCCCCCTTCCCCGCTACTACTTTTCCCCCCCCCCCATCTTCTATCAGATTCTTCTGGTCTCTTCTACAGACCCTGGGGTTGGGGTGGGGAATGTGTCTGGTCCTACCGGCCGCCACTCTCTCCGTCTGACTCTATTATATTCTATTGAACCCCATTTTACCATATGCATATCCATAACTACTTTTTTCATATATCCGTGTTTAAATATTCATATATAAATTTCTTCACATCAGATATATAAGTATCTATAATGTTTTTGGTTTTTTTATGTTTTTCTTCCCAGAGTTCTCACTTTTATTTTCCAGTAGAAATCTTATTTATTCTTCTATTACCCGTCTCCCCATTTTATAATCCTTTTATCTCATTTTCTTCTTGATTTTCTCTCTCTCTCTTTTTTAATATTCCTCCTCCAAATTTATCATTAACCATCACTGGGTACCTCCTTAGATACCTCCTTAGATATCTTCTTCCAAGCACTATCTTATTTTTTTAGCAGTACAGTGGTGCCTCGCATAGCGATGTTAATTCGTTCCAAAAAAAAATCGCTATGAGAAACCATCGCTATGCGAAACACCATTTCCCATAGGAATGCATTGGAAACCGGTTAATCCGTTCCAATTGGAACGGATTGCCGTCATTAAGCGAAAAAACCCATAGGAAACATCGCTAAGCAAAACAATGTTTCCTCCATTGGAATGTATTGAAGCTGACTCAAT